AGCTCTCACACTAGCTTACATCTTCAAATATATTCAATTTATATCTATACCATAAAGCTTATCTTGTCCTAAGTCCACGTACGCAAAAGGTGGCTTTCTGCTATAATGAACAATTTTGTAGTGAATGGATACAGACAGTGCTCTACTACCCAACCAATCAACACCACCTTCAACAAGCAGCAGGAAAAAGTCACTATTCTTTTTACATTATCAACCTTCTTAAGCACTTCACGCAATTTTCGCTGAGGCTGTCTGACTGAAGTGACATAAAATAGACATTTCTCTCTCCTCTTTTCTCGTTGCCTCTGTGGAGTCGTTAGCCTAATGTCCTACAGAAATGAGGCTTATGCAATTACGCTGTCTTTCTGCCCTATTCCCACTCCATCTGGTGTGATTTCTGAACCTACTGGCTCACCTGAACTCACTGAAGACAGCTGAGAAACGAGCAGAGGTCACTGGCATGCTCCTACTAATTCCTCCCAGCTTCTGGAAAAACACTAGACAAATAAGTACCAAAGAAAGTACCTCCGCTACAGAAAATGTGTCAGTATGGTTCATCTGCTACCTGCGTGGCTAGCTAGCCATTAGCTGACCAGGATCTGCATGGTTTGAAACCAGCTGAAGCCAGCACCTTTCCATGCTAGGCTTATAGAGCTGAGAGACTGCTACAGGGAGGAACGGTTCACGGATGATATTAGCAGTGAAATTATAAGCGATGCAGGAGAAAGCAAAAGTAATTTGGGGACAAGAAGGTGGGAATAAACCTGACAAACCTAAGATGCAAGTCCCTAAAGCACCTTACAGACTTCATGAGGCTTGCAGCCCATCAAAGAACTTGCTTTTCACATCGAGTCCTTCAAGATTACTGACAAATGTGGATATTGCAGAATGCTCTGCATATCCGGTAAGTTCTTAATTTTCCCGGTCACCCTTAACTGAGGTACATATCAACGCAGTGAAAATGAGAGGCAAGCTGCTGTTCGTTATCAGCAACTATAAATTGATGAACTATATGAACTATAAATTCATCAGTGGATGACAGATTTCAGAAGCAGCAAAACTTTGCATTTTTAAATTCCTTTCTGAATACATAGACAAGGGAAAAATACTCATTTTTAGACGTAAAGATAGAGATAGAAAAAAAAAAACAAAAAATAAAAAGAAACAGAGCTCTGGAAAAATCTATGGAAGTGAGCTGATAAGTTAAATCATTTTGAGGATGGACAAGATAGGTGAGGAAAGGCTGGTGGAACAGTTTTGTAAAGCTAAGCTTTGGGTCTGACTTCCACATAAACTCAACTAGGAAAGGTTCCAAACTCGGGACCTGAATCCTTGCTAATCTCTATAGCCTTATGGCAAAATGTAAAATACCAGGACTCCACTCTGGAGCTGCAAGCCAGCATTCCCGCAACACTCGCTTTCAGGCCCTGAAACTCAAGTGCTAAATGAACTTGATATTGTTGAGCGTGAAGGCAAGTTACCCTACAGCACTCTTTACAGCGCAGGTTTAAACTGTCCATGTAGGCGTATTTATTAGCAGGTCTGGATAGCATTCTATTTCTTCCCTCACTTCCTTTGCTTCTTACTTTTAAAATCCTACGACTGCACAAGAACATCAAATCTCTGGCTGTTTAAGGACCATGTGACTCTTCTGTACTTTGAACTCAGATAAACTTCTTACTGAATGAAGTCATGTGTAAAATGCTTTCCAACAGAGATTATTTTGAACCAGGCCGTACTAAGAAATGCAACAAAACCAAATTCAAGAAGGAAAAAAAGGAACCATTCTTGTACAGAGTGCAATACTTTGTGGGGCAGGGAGGGAACCACCAGATCCCCTCACATAAACAAGACTACGCTTGTGCTAGGTTATGAAAACAGATAATTTTTAGTTAATTAATGGAAGAAACAAAAAACATTTCACCATATTTCTTTATAATCACACTTTAGAAAACAAATAGGCTTTGCCTAATACTACATAGGTCTTTAATGCATGCATGCATCTTTGCTTACAAAAGACATCTTCATAAATCACAGAGTCTCAAGTTTAAATCAGCAGAATCTGAATCAGGTCACAGAATTCCACCTTGACACGGATCAGAATCTCGGTATGTTTCTTCAGCCTAAAGAGATACCGGGTTTAGCTAATATTTGGATAAAAAAATGCATGACCCTGATCAGTATGCTTTTTTTTCCCTAGGAGCAGAACATATGGCCTATATCCTGGCTAACTTCCAACAGGAGTAATTACATTCTGATCACATAAGTTTCCCCTGTGGTTTAGCTGGGTAGGGCATTCCTCTTCAGTTCCTCCTGTGAGCATTTATACCTCGTTGTGGAGCACTCTTAAAAGGCTACTGCCCTCTGCCCCAAAGATGACTGCATTTCAGTAATAAGTGAAACAATGTTTATGAAGATATAATTATATCCTCAATTTTTGGGGTGGGAGGACATGACAGGGTCTGTTTTGTTTCGTAACATGTGTTTTGAGTTCCTAATCATTTTCACATATTCAATAGACACAATCTTTTGTATCAGGATGATGCTTTCACGCAATGAAATTGATAGATGAAGAGGAACAGGGTATTTTCCCTCAACAACCTTTAACATTAACAATGCTTGTTAAAGGATCTTCTACCCTTAAGTCCATGCAGCACATCTAAAATTATGCATTTCTTCTGAGGATGGGGAGCAGCCTATGGACTCACGGAGGGCTGTGTGTTGAGAAAGAAGATATATATTGGAGAAGGCACTGGGCAAGTTCTCAGCTGGAAAAAAAAAAGACGGAAAACCAGGCAAAGCAAAAGAAGAGTTTGGCTATCTTTTATTTTTATACTGGGACATTGACTGTTTTGATTGTTGTGTTTTGTTTAAAGGATAGAGAGAATCCAACATAACAGATGTACAACACCATACAATGCCAGAGACCACCACGTAGTCCGAAGATCTCAAAGCACTTCACAAGTAATTAGTGCCTATGCAAGGTACTGGAGACAAGCATTACAAGAGCCATCTTAGAAAGAACTACAGGACCAAGTTCTAGGTAACTGATCAGGTAAAATTCTCCCCCTCCTCCCCCAGATAAGGGCTACAAATACCGAAACCAAAAGGTCAAAATTACCAAAAGGAAGAAGTTATTCTGAATACTTCCACTTTTGATTTTCCAACCTGAAGCTATCTGAAATCCACATTCCAGGCTTATACATCTATTAACTTCAGCAGAAGTATGCAGTATTTACTGCCTCTACAAAAGCATCGGGATCACTGTGACAAATTAGGCATCCCAAAAGTCAGAAGCCAGTTTAATAATTTGTCCTGCATAGGATCTAAGTGACATTAAGCAGCAGAAACACCAGAAAGAGACTATTCATTTAGACCACTCCATATTTTAACTACTTGGCCAGATCTATAAACTACTTTGCAGATGACAAATGCTACAGAGCTGTTCAGTATTCCTAAACAAAACTGTGCATGGGAACAGGATTTTTTCTGCAAGAGATCTGAATGAAGAGCTCCTATTAGCTGCTTAATCCATGTGTTTGTATACATACACACCAATCCATACCTACGTGTACATACACATCAGTTAAAAAGAACTTGTATAATACATTTGCACCTGATTTTGTTTTGTTTTCCATTAAAGAAAAACAGACACAAAGACAAAACAACTTTCCACCTTCTGATAAATCAGAAGTGGGAACTGTTTTGAGAATGTGACGAGTGGCAAGCTTTCTCCCATTTCGCTTGACTTGTATTTTTTCTTAAACACCCTTTCTCTTCAGAGCCACAGTGATCTGCTATGGGACTGGTGTACGTGGCAAATGAGAAGGCTCTCCTGTTTGTATTCACAAAGTCATTGGGATTCTGCTCCCCTGCTGTCTCTGTTCTTCAGAGCTGGCAGTGGATTCAAACTGATGAGGAGGCTCCAGCCTGAAGAAGCAGAGCGAGGAACCCTGTCAATGTAAGCCCCAGCAGGCTCACAGGGACAGGGTTGGCAAACGAGCCAAAGGCTGCTGCAGCTCACACGGAAACGCACTCTCAGGTTGTGTGAACGTTGTTCCAATTAACCCAGAGAAATGGGTAGTTTCCCGATTTGACTGCCAGCTCTTCCATTAGGATGCGGCACTGTTAGTTGAAAAGACCAAGAAGTTTGGGATCAGGCCAAGCCACACACACATACAAAGCCCGAGTTTTAGAGGGAGATGTAAAATTTAAGGTCTGTGTGGTGGCATCCCTTTAAACATAATGGAACAGAGTGCAAGCCCCATTGCCCAAATCCACAAGCATAAAATGGGATACGTCTCTAGTGTGCAACACTGCCATCATGTGGCCATTCCAGCTATGCATAAACATCAGCAGGGAGAGACTATTTCAGAACATTGCCCCAAATTTGTAGCTTTTTAAAGGGTCTTTAATAGTACTAGCAAACTGCAGACGAGCTGCAGAGGTGGCGATAACTCCCTCATAAACGTCCCCTCACAAAGAAAAACACTACTGTCTTCAGACGTGCTCTTTTTTATGTCAGGTAGCAAACGCATTTCTCCTTTTCTAAGACACACTCATCAAGTCCATGCCACAATTATATTGCATTGCACAGCGCAGAATATAACTGAACATCAAAAACGTCAAGAAACACCAAAATGACAAATGCAGAGTTCCCGACGTCAGGAAACCGATCTTTAGATGTAATCTGAATGAGAACAGCACAACGGCCTCAATTAGGTAAGAGTTCCAGTACAGGAAAATACACGGAAGTTGGCATAGAGTCAGGAGTGGAAAACAAAGCAAATGAATCAAGTTAGTAATTTAAAAAGAAAATGAAATGCTGACAGGCATAGGACAAAACAGCATGGAATGCAGAAGAAAGCTGTAATAAATAAAATATGCGTATAGGAGAGGAAAAGTGGTACGTAGTCACAAAAGTAGTAACAGAACTGAACCTAATCCAGGGAAGAAGAGTGATTCAGTTAAAGTGGCAGTGAAGAAAAATGTTCACCTACCTCAGCGCTTGACTCAGTTGTTCACCTATGCAGAACTTTTATTTGCAGTAATCTGGAACCCGGCCCAAGCAAAGCAAGCATGATTCAGCTCTCTCACTCAACGGCCCACTGCTTGCTTGTTTTCCAGCTTCAGTGAGGGACCCGCATACATTCATTAAGAACGGACAACTTTGTCGTCTGTGCACGAGACCAAGTACAACAGGAGTTTTCTGCCCAACGGGCGCTACAGACAGACGAATATAGAAATAACAATGACCCGAAATCAAATTTAGTAACATATCCATTAGCATAGTATCTACAAAAATCTTAGATCAAAACACCAGTAAAGAAACAACAAAAGCTCAGTACCTTAAGATAGGAAACAGAAATATTGATAGGCAGAGTACAGAAGCTTAAACTCCGCAGACGGATTGAGACAAAAAAGAAAGAGTCCTATTTATATTCACGTCTCCTAGCATTTGGCACCTGTAAACATCAAAACGAGTCTGCTCACCATCGCCATTAGAACGGGAGCAAAGCTAACGCACTTGAGAAAGATCCTGCTACAGCTGCACTTCTAAAATCAGGGCAAGAAATATTAATTTTCTTCTTCACCAAGCAAGTAATTTCAAAAACAAAGCTTGCAATATTCACTCAAGTGGGAACTCGGAACCAATCTTAAAAAAATCAATAAAGGAAACCAGCGGCATATTTACTGTTACCCTGCCCTGGAGCTGCTGAGATGGTAATTATACCTTTTTTGTTGGTTTTATTTGATTGTTTTGCCAGATTGCATAAAGCATATCTACTGACCAATTTGTGAAAAGTTTAGTGTTTTTATAATACAGCTCCCTCCATTCAGGGTAAGAGGGCAGAGGCCAGAGAAATATTTTTGACTTATGTTTCTAACAAAAAGGCTAGCCCGCGAGATCTGAAAAAACTCCTAGGCTGCAAGGGGGCTTTGATCCCTCTGTGTCGTCAATCAAGTTTCTATACCCTTCTACAAGTTTCATTTTTGAAGAGACTATCCACTGTTATTTTTGCAGTGTAAGTGCAGAGCAAACTGAAAAGTTAAATTAAGATATTATTTTCCTGGTTTTTTGTTTTGTTTGTTTTTTTCTTCCCAGGACCGTCAGCACATGAACAGGGAGATTTTTCAACAGAATATGAGCCCAGAAGAGAAAACAATTTTCCAAGAATATTTGACAAAGCAGGGGACTGTAGTAAAACCCTATTACTGGCAGACACCGAACCCAAACTGTGCTAAGTGTCCCTATCACATACGGACAGGTAAAGAAGCTAGAGTCCCTTATGCAGAATTTCACAGGGCCTTTGAATTCCCGTACAGGTCAACAGTTCTCCAAAACAAACACCTTCTGTTCTATGAATTGAGGCTTTTCTCTGGCACAGTAGTCCAAAAAGGCCATGCTACCAACTGTACTGACCAAGACAACCATCCTGAATCTATGTTATTTGAGGCAGGCGGTTATCTGGACTCAGTTACTTATACTTACGAAAGCATTGGCCACATAATCCTCTATTCAAACTACTCTCCTTGTAATGAGGCTGACCACTGCTGCATAAGTAAAATCTACAACTTCCTGATAAAGCATCCAGAAGTCACCCTCTGCATCTATTTCTCTCAGCTTTATCACACTGAGGACAGCTTCCCCACAGCTATGTGGAACCGTGAAGCTTTACGAAGCCTTTCCAGCTTATGGCCTCACGTGACTCTATACCCACTGTCTGGGGGAATACGGCATTACCTCCTCTGCAATTTTGTGTATGGCATCCCAAGGTCGACCCTTTATCATCCAGCTTTGCCATCAAGAACCTTACAAGATCAACCAAGTCCACATCAAATTAACAACTTAATAGGAATGAAACCGCGTTTTAAGAAAACATTTCCACAAGCAATGCAGGGAAAGCCTGCTCTGCAGCAAAACGTAAAGATCTTTTCTTCTTCCTCTAACCTGGCCTCCCAACAGCCTTTACAACTGATAAAAAGCAGTCTGCCCTCTCTGATGTCTCAAAGCCACTTGGTGCTTTTCCCAGGCACGTTTCTGCCCTTTCAGCAGGCACATCTATACTCCAAACCTGAAAATATTGTAAGACATTTAAAAATGCCAAAGCAATTACCCAATGAAACTCCTAATATTTCCAAAAGGTAGACACCTATTTTGAAGATGATACAATATACAAACAACTTTCAGACTGCAAAACTGAGATTTCAAATGGCAAGAAAACCACTGAAGTCACCTCTTATAAAAGTGAATCTACAAAGGAATCATGGAACTCAAATAATTGATTACGAAGATAGTAAGCTTTTACTTTAGACGTATACCTTTCAAATATAAACCTGTATCAGCAGTAACTCAGTGCCTTCAAATTATTTCCTGTGATAAATGAAGTAGTCGTTGTCAAGCCATTTTTTACTGGAAAAACGTAAGCGGCATACGAGCTACAAGCACAAACTACAACCTCTGACTGTAGCTTCAAATGAGGAGACTTTGGTGAAATGCATGAAGTAGCCTAAATCCCTCCTCCATCAAGGTGGTTCTGCAGGAAAGCAGATAAAACGCTTATATTTAGGCATAAGCCTAATAAAGATGGAAATGCTCTAGAACATACCAGATTCCTTGCTTTTATACTATTTAAAAGCTTTTTTTTAAGAGAAACTTTCTTGAAACAGGTTATATTGATTCTGCACAGGTTTTTAGTATCTTTGAGTTAACACACTTGAATCACAGGAAGCAGCCTGCGCTGTAATGCTGGCCAATTAATTTCTCCTCGGGTTTGTAAAGCCAGACCTATTTTCTTATCTAGCAGTAGTAAGGTGCTGCTCGGGCGTGGGCTTCCGGTATCACGTTCAGAGCCCAAAATCGCGTTCCGAGCACGACAAAAACGGGGTAGTGGCATTACGTGGCCTAACCTCCTCTTTCCCCCCTCCACACTCGTACCCGCCTGCAAAGGGGGAGAGAAAGCGGATCTCGCCGGACCTGAAGGACCAGCTCCGGCCGTCTCCGGGGCTTACGAGCAGACCGGTGCCCGACGCCCGGCTCCTGAGGGGCGCCGAGCCCGCCC